GTGATATTCCCGGCTATATGTTTATTGACGAGTCTGGACCAGACAAACGAGTGATTGGCAACATAACCTCGATCTACGCGTACGCAGTTGACCATCTAACCCCTTAAGCCGTTTCCTACGACAAGCAAAGCTTGCTGAAAATAATTTTTAAGCTATAAAATGTTAAACGATGTAGTATTCGTGACCTTTCGTAACCAGTCGAAGTATGTGATAGACAGGGTGTACTATTCAGTAAGCTCTTTAATACATCATTACAGTTATATGACAGCGTGCCAACCGTCTCCTTGGTGCAGTGGTTTGAGCGTCCGCTCGGAGAGCGGAAGGTCGCTGGTTCGATCCCCGACCGCGTCATACCAGAAGACGTTAAAATATGGTACTTGTTGGTCCCTGCCTGGCGCTCGGCATTAATGGGTACAACAAGGACTGGTCGGCTCGGAGTCAGTATAATGTGTCTGAGTGGGGTATTCAATTTAGTGTTGGGAATTGGTTAAAATCTCATAATTGACGATTGGTTCATTACAACCGATCAATCATCGAAAATAATTGGTTAGCGTCATTTATGAAATTTGTTAATGCACATCAAAATAAGAAAAAAACATGTAGTTCTTTTGGGGCTTTTTGGCAAAATTTCACGTATTTAAAGGATGACTAGTATGTTAGGAACATACATTTCTTGGGGCCTTTAAGATAAATTCAATCATGACTTTAAAAGAACTTGTATTGCTTACAAAATGTAACAGACAAATCCAACCATGTGAAAAATATTGTTAATGAAAACAAGTGTTCCGATATTGGTTGTGTTCGATTATGAGAAATGATGATCGATTGCTTGGTCGTTTAGTCACTACGACCAATCTTCGATTATTTCAATTAATCGGACCACCACTAGTATTCATGCTTAACTGCGGCATGGCATCTCAGTGGGCTAGCACTATAAAACCAGCTTAAGTCTGGGCTAGTACAAGCAGCCACACATACACACGCATGCACGTCGTCATATGAGCGAAATATTCTCAAGTACGACGTTAAACCCCATTTCACCCCACAGCGTGTCGACTTTATGTGGAAGTAATATAAGGATTGATGCGGGTCTCAGACGATTACCACTTAATTGAAGCACATAAGCACAAGAGTGGTGCTAACACACCTTGAAACATGAGTGCGAATCTCGAATTGGACCTTACAGTTTCCTGTCACGCCTAAGGGGCGTAACTGTGCGCAGCTAATTTCCATGCCAGGATCCACTTGAACAACGTGATCATAGCCCCGCGACCATTTTAAAGATATATACTCATGCCAATAATGGTTGTCACCCCTTTCAATTTTTTTAATTGGAGAGGGGGGGGGTGTGTGTGTGTGTGGGGGTGTGTGTTAGGGTTGGCAGGGGCTGACAACCATTATTGGCATGAGTATATTAGAGTATGGGAGCGCTCAGATCGCTTTGTGCATGTGGACCCTGAACCGCCGACTCACCCACTCACGCCTTTAAACATCGTATTGAGTTTTTTAGGTTTTAATGATTTTTGTTTTTATGGAATCGGTATTGGTCGACGACGGGATCAGGGCCCACTTGCACAGAACGATCTTAGCGCTACAATTATTGTAAATCCTTAAGATCGCGATCTTAGGCTTCGGCTACAATCGCCATCCACTTGCACAAAGCAATTGTAGGCTAAGATAATTGTAAGTTAGAATCAGAGCTAAGATCATTGTAGTCTGTGACAAAATGGCGTTCAAGTTAGTGTCTGTTTCACGCAGATAATCAGCTTTACTTTTGGAGACTGCTTTTATATTGTATAAAACTGTGTGGTTCAACTCAACACTTCAACAACACGGAGAATGCACAACCGATTTAACGTCAGAAACATCGTTATTTGCCGTAGTGAACCACATACCTATCGAGACAATATCATAAAGTACTATTCCCGCCTGGTTCAGTTTTTTCATGCAAGCTGGGAGTGATTTCCCTTGAAATATTATGCCGTTGCTGTAGAGTCTGTCTTAAAAATTAAATCCATGCCGTCTTACTATCGCGCTAAGATCGGCTTTGTGCAAGTGGATTAGGGCAATTGTACGGTGATTGTAAAGTTGATTGTAAGGCCCTAAGATTGATTGTAACGAAGATTGGTCTGTGCAAGTGGGCCCAGGTTTATTAAGGGACACATAATCCACGATGACCTCACAAGCCATATTTTGGTACACAATCACCTCTACTCCTACTCCTGAATATCCGGGTTAGAATTGGTCTTCAGCAACCCATGCTTGTCGTAAGAGGTATCCGGTATTGGGTGGTCACAGTTGATGACTTGGTTGGCATATGTCATCGTATCCTGTTGTGTAGACAGTTGCTCATGCTGTCTATCACTGGATTGTCTGGTCCAGATTATTTATAGACCGACGCCATATAGCTGCAATATTGCTGAGTACGGCGTTAAACAACAAGCAAACAGACACACAAGACAATTCAATTCAATTCAATTCTATATTAACCTGAAGTTTAACAACTTATCGGTGGTTAAATAAAGCATAAATTATTTCCCGGATACAGGTGGATGGGTTTGCCAATTTTGGTTGTAGCATGCATATGCATAATTATGGAGAATGCACAAAAATATTTTTGATACGAATTTCTTATATTAGATTCAGTAAACACATATTTACCAACTGTTTAGCATTCTTTAAACCAAATAACTGGATTTATTTAAAGACAGATAGATTTTTCCAGTAATATAACTTAATATATTTTTTGTCTGACATTTACATATAAAGGGCAAATCAAAACAAAGTGAAACTCGTCTTCAATATCAAAATTACTATTGATACACTTTCTTACATTTACATTTATATTATATAGTCAATATGTCAGTGTTGAAGTGAGTGAGTTTATGTTTACGCCGCACTCAGCAATATTCCAGCTATATGGCGGCGATCTGTAAATAATCGAGTCTGGACCAGACAATCCAGTGATCAACAGCATGAGCATCGATCTACGCAATTGGGAACAGATGACATGTGTCAACCAAGTCAGCGAGCCTGACCACACGATCCCGTTAGTCGCCTCTTACGACAAGCATGGGTTACTGAAGATCAATTCTAACCAGGATCTTCACGGAAAATGACCCAGGAATGTGCCCAGGAAGATGACATCATCTATCAACTTCGACATATTAACATCTCTTAAAGTTACAGTTACATTTAAAGTGCTGGTTCTTGCAAGAGAAAAACAATGTCGGAGTTGATGGGTGTTATTAGTAGTGTGTGCCTGGCAACGTGTCTGATAGCGTTGAAGGGTGCCTGTGTCTGTTGAAACAATAACGCACTGACGTAAACATGCTTGTAGATTGCTACATATTTAGCCACTTGTAAATTGACGTACACTCCAAATGTCAACAATGCCACATATGTTTAAGATTCCAGCGTGTGGCTTAAAGCATTATCGGAGATCGGTTATTTCCGACAGCCGCTCGGAAGGGATCGGTTTACGTGGCTGTCATTTCCGCGGCTCACGCAGTGGCGCCAGATGAAAACGGATATCACCGGATATGACGCCGTTGGGTTTAAGACGAAGTTGTCAAATGAGCCTATGTTCGGTTGTCGTAACGAATGAGTATTCATTACTAGCTACATAAGACCTCTGGTTAAATGTTACAAAGTTGTTTCACGTGCAAAAGAATTTGCCAGCCATTGCTCGTAATTTGATACTAGGGTGTGCCTTGATTTGGTCAATCAGCGTGCGCTCTTGGTAAATGACCCTAACGTCCATTATCACGTGATAAAAGCAGCTAAGAATAATTATTCACTGATCATATAATCCTAGCCCCGTTAAGGGACGCAACTCTAGAAAGCCCATTAATGTTGCCCCATGCTTCCGAAACTTTTGAAATATATGGAACACATATAACAGTAGTTCGTAACACGCTGTGTCTGTTTTTGTGAGGTTTGTGAAGCATTTATGTTTATCTTACCTCACACATAATGTCGCTTTCTGATTGGCTGAGCGCTCTTATATTATTTTCAATGTACCCCGCTGTCAATGGCAACTCATTCTGTACTTCATGGTAGTAATTCTTTAACTCGAATAACATTGAATCACGTATGATGTACGGAAATTACCGATATTTTGCGAATGCAAATCGATGGAAGGGAGATAACTCTAAATCTGTTTTTCTTGTCAGCAAAATCTAGCTATGGCTACAAAAAGATTTGTACCCGTGCTTCAAACAATTCAAAATTAACATTAAGTGTTCGGTTAGATGTCCAATGGTCCCTCGGGCTCAGGGAAGATAAACAAACATCGAGGGTACATCAACCCATGCCCCCCTCGTGACCAGCGAACAACTTATAATGTATATATTATATATTCATGTAATTTTTAAAAAATCATACAAAAACATTGACCATCTTGCTTGTGGATCCGTGGTGTCATGGGTTCATACATCGAAAGTTGGAGTTACGCACCTTTAAACAGAATAGTAGTTATAACACGATGTTTCATCTTGAGATGGTAAGAAAGCGTGTGTAAGGCATCTTTAGACATCTAACACTCCAGTGGAATCAACGCGCACTAGATACATTAGAGAGAACCGGGATTTAATGCTCATCGGTTGTCTGTCTCACAGTCCCTAAACAACATTATTTTCCCTACTGCCAAGCCATCTCTGCAATGCTTAAGCCCTAAATGAAGCAAGTCTAGATTTCTCAGGCTGTTCTCCCCGGGGCTCTTTTTCAATTTATATAGGGTTTGTTTGTTGCTATCAAAATTATATTAGTCTAGCTCATCGGTTTCTCTCACACCTAAGGGAAGTAACTCTGAACCGCCAATTGTTGCACCAGAGAGCCAATGTGCAATGGAGGGATGACTACACCACGACAGGATAAACTATATCCTACTTATAGTGAGTTAATATTGAAGGTCACATATATCAGCAATGTTCATAACGGACAGTCCCACGCGAGCTGTTTGAGTCTTTAGCTTTATCTGTGGTTGTTTCCCTTTGCAGCAGTTGTCCCCTTGTCTCGGGACAAGCGGGATGTGACCTTGCCAAGGCCAGTGATTGTATCGAGGAGCTGCAGTCCATCTTGAATGACACAAAGGACGAACGAAGAACGGTTGAAGACAAGATTCTAATGTGCTCGTGAGTTAATGATATGCGCCTACTTGCACAAAGCGATTGTAGCGCTAAGACCGTCTTAAGTCTTGGTAGGAATATGGAACTTGCGATCGTAGTAGCGCTAAGATCGCTTTGTGCAAGCCGGCCCTGCAGGGTCCCATTTCACAAAGCGATCGTAGCGCTAAGGTGATCGTAACTCCCATACCTTAACATAGAATTACGAAAGTCGTAGCGCTAAGGTGATCGTAACTCCCATACCTTAACATAGAATTACGACAGTCGTAGCGCTACGATCGCTTTGTGAAACGGGCCCCTCGACATAAGTCTTAGAGGGGCAACTAGTTTTTCTGTAAGTCTCATTTCACTTATTACCGTGTCCAGCACACGATCCACAAAGCGGTCTTAGCATTAAAACAAAGTAACGCCCATGCTGTACAAAGACTAAAGACAGTCGGAGCGCTTGGACAATCGCAACTCCTTTGTTTTAGATTGTTTACATCGGATAGGAGTCAAATATTGTTGCTAGAATGAATGCACGTTTATGCCGCTCTGTTACGAATAACCGGAGCAATGGTGGTTGATGGCAAGGTAAACCGTAAGATATTACCAGCCTCGTCATACATTGTGACCAATCAATCCTCACTTTAACCGTCTTTTACGTTTAACACACTCCCACCCCACATGGAATACCACTAAAAGAGTCGGCAAACCCAAATATCCTTATTCATCTGACAGTATTATGAACGTAACATTATCTGCTACAGGTTGATGTTGCGCAACAACAACATCAGCACCTGCTACCTGATGAACACCGCCGTGTGCCCCGACAACCCCGACAAACAACGTCAGGCGAGTCGGTGGACTTCTATCACAGGGGAGATCGACCTGTTCTGTGATAATGGTATGTTCCTTTTCTATTCCAATCGTTACCCGTGAAGATCCGGGTTAGAATTGGTCTTCAGCAACACATGCTTGTCGTAAGAGGCGACTAACGGCATCGGGTGGTAAGGCTCGCTGACTTGGTTTAAACATGTCATCTTATTCCAATTGCGAAGATTGATGCTCACGATGTCGGTCACAGGATTGTCTGGTCCAGGCACAATTATTTACAGACCGCCTCCATATAGCTAGAATATTGCTAAGTGCGGCGTTGAACAATAAACACACACACACGCACGCACACGCGCACACGCGCGCGCACGCACACACACACACACACGCACACGAAGAGATGTCCGAGATAGAGTTAATTGTGTTCTTTCATACGGTATATCAAGTTAAGTCCCATATGACTTGAATATCATCATCAGTATGTGATATGTGGGGAAAGACAAATTGGAAGTTGTCCAAGTTACTTATGCCCGTTTGCTAAGACGGAACCCAGACCAAAAATGGCCACGACAGGAACACGAGTCGCTCTTCAGCCTGTTCCGGATATAACACGTATCAGTCACGAATGTAACCATTTATTTCATTCTGTGTGACCGAGGAGAGCCGAATGCACATTTAGGTTCATTCCAATAGCTTGGTCGCCTGGATACACGTGACTAATTCTCCTGTCTCCTACCAGACTGCCAAGATTACAGGGAAATAAAGACGTGCAAGGAGAAGGTCGATATGGACGCCATAGAACAGGGAGCCCCCTCCAGGTTTTGTAGGTGAGTGATTTACAGTTGAACACTATTGTGTCGATGTTAAAGGGAACTGCAGTCCTTTTGATTTCATTTGAGACCGATGAATTGCTCACTAACACAAAATCTAATAATTGCAACAAAACCAAATTTTGCACAGTCACGTGAAAGCGACAGACCAACTCTGATGATTTGTCTCATAATTTCGGGCACCCGACAAAAAAAGTTGCTTCACAAGCGATCATTATTTTGTTGTCACTTTTCGCTATTTGTTACGAGGGGTGATCACTTACTGGTAGGACAGCCAGGTAATCAACAAGCGTGTGTAGTGAAATTTCAATTTCACACGTGCAACTCGCACACCTGGCTGCTCTAAATGAAATCAAACGGACTGTACGTAAAAACGTCGAGTTGTCCGAAGTTCGACACATCTTCATAATGATGATTAGATAAAGAATAAGCAGGGGGTAAGGTTTTTATTTCGAGACAACCGTAGATTCGAGACATCAAGGTTCGACATAACGGTATTTGTATGAGAAAACAAGAATATGTTTAACTCCTCCTTTGAATCACTACTTCGGAACAGCTGGATGGTGAAGAGGATGGAGGACGCAGGGATGGGTAGAGAGAACCTTGGACTTTTTTTAAATTGGTATTTTTTCACGAAAATGCTTCAAAACAAATATCTTGTATTCGTTTATACCTTAAACATACATTTTTGAGTGGATGGCCTGACAAAAGGTGTAGAGGGCCCTAAAAAGTCTGAAAGTGTAATGAGAGAAATAAATGTTCTTTCACTAACACATATTCCCCAGCTACATTGAAGAATATCACATGATCGGCCCATTAAAACGAAGTTCATCTTCTCCAAAGCTGCTGTTCTGACGTCAGTCTGTTTCGCTACACTGCAACCCGTGAACATCCGGGCTAGAATTGGTCTTCAGTAACCCATGCTTGTCGTAAGAGGCCACTAACGGGATTAGGTGGTCAGGTTCGTTGACTTGGTTGACACATGTCATCGTATCCCAATTGTGTGGAACGATGCTCATGCTGTTGGTCACTGGATTGTCTGGTCCAGATGTGATTATTTACAGACCACTGCCATATAGCTGGAATATTGCTGAGTGCGGCGTTAAAGACCAACCAACCAACCACTAAACAGCAATGCCTCGTTTCACAAAGCGAATACGACTGTCGTAACTCTCAAAGTTTAGCATAGACTTACGACAGTCGTAACTCTCAAAGTTTAGCACAGACTTACGACTGTCGTAACGCTAACATTTATTTGCAAAACGGGGCCCTGATAGGTATAAGATCAAAGAATTTATTTCCATCCCTATATAACTGAAAAGCTGCGTATCTTAGTAAACGTTTATTCATCAGTCCATCTTGTTTCACAGGACCTACGATGAGAGTAAACAGTGTCTGGCCGACGACATTGACGGCGACAGCTGCGAGTACAAGGAAAACATCTACGACGCTCTGTTTGACGGGCCGTACATCAGGAACTACTACAACAACGTCTGTCGCACAGGTGAGCTACGTATACCCTCAGCACAAGGAGTTACGTTAGCTAAGCTGAGTCCCGATCCACAAAGCATAGTTTATCATAGGATTACGTATGACGTAGTTCTACGAAATGTTGTCGGTCTTGAGCTGTCCGGATATGTTTCTGTGTTTCCCACCTCCCGATTATTTTTATCTTGATTTATCCTCGTTTATCGAACCGGGTCTTCTACGTGACAAGCGAACGCTTTAACCACTAGGCTACCCAACCGCCCCTTACTTAATGAAAAAGCAGCCGTGAAACGTCAGTTCATTTGTAAGAATTGCACGATAGGTTGGAATCGCGCCCTTGTTTCTATGGTAGTGGGATATCAAGGGGGACGCCAGAGATGGGCTTCACACGTTGTACCCATGTTCGGAATCGAACCCAGGCCTTCGGTGTGACGAGCGAACACTTTAACCATTAGGCTAATATACGCGTAACTTGTAATTGAAACCATACCGGCTAACACCGACAACACCGCGTGCGACAGTTTTCGATGTACGGAGCAATTGTTTACATTCCATATATGGCAAGTGTTCTCTGTTTGGAAGCTGATCGCCTCAAAGTTTCCATTATCGATTTCAGGCAAGTTGTAAGGGATAATAAGTCTTTTATTGCATCAATAGGAAGCTAAAGTAAGTCCATATGCCCCAATATGTTTAATATAGGTCAAAATATTGTCGAAAATATGTGAATATCCGTATATTTAATGTGTTTCTTATCTCCACCTCAATCCAGGTAGAAAAATACATAAATTGAAATAAAAAAACCTTCTTCGATAACTGTAAATTCTTTTGTGAAATTTTAAAATCTAGATTACTTGGTTATAGTCTTACAATTGATTTATGATGAAGATCAAATCGCTTTGCTTCGGAATCAATCCCAAGAAATGTTAGGGGCCGTGGTTAAAGCGATCGCTCATCACGCCGAAGACCGGGTTCAATTTCCCACATGGGTACACGCCATTTCTCGTGTTCCCAGCCTTGACATTGCTGGAATATTGCTATGAGCGGCGTAAAACTAAACTCACTCACTCAACAAATGTAGCTGAGGGCAGATGAAGCTGTCCCGTATTTCAGTGTGGAAGACTAAGGGTATTTGTTATCACACCAGGACATACATTTCCATAGCGGCGGGGAAAATTGAGATAAGAAATTTTTTTTCTTATTTTTTTACGTCGGAATGAAAATTCTAGGCGGGCAGGAGATGGGAAACAGAGACAAAATACTGACAGACTTTGTTCAGGATATCACAGGATATATGAAAGACGGGCGGTGGGGTAGCCTGGTGGTTAAAACGTTCGCACGTCACGCCGAAGGCCCGTGTTCGATTCCCCACATGGGTACTATGTGTAAAGCCAATTTCTGGTGTCCCCCGTCGTGATATTGCTGGAATATTGCTAAAAGCGACGTAAAACTAAACTCACTCACCCACTCTCCATGAAGGAGAATCTATCGTCCGCACATTTTGAAAAACAATCCTTAGACAGTGACATTAAGCAGGTTCGATGTCTGCCAATCCATCTTTACGGGCGTACTTCAAGTGTGTTGAGCCATTCAATAACAGTATTATTAATAAAATCGATCTAAGTTGTTTTTTTATTTGTCTTGCAGATTGTCCTAACCTGGACGAGACCGTGAATATATTGCAAAAATGCTACACTTCCTTGGAAAACCATAACGTATCTGATGTCTGCCCGTAAGTATGATTCAGGTTATCTTCAGGTGTTGCCACACTCTACGGCACTGCTGTGATGTATTAACAGTGTCAAGAGCTGAAGCTGCGCTATCCTGCTGACACGTTATGCCATCTTGCTTTGATGCTATACTATGTCCTTGCTATGACCTTTCTCCTGTTCAACCGCTTCCGTGGTGTAGTGGTTAGAGCGTCCGCCCGGAGAGCGGAAGGTCGCGGGTTCAATCCCCGACCGCGTCATACCAAAAGACGTTAAAAATATGGTACTTGTTGGTCCCTGCCTGGCGCTCGGCATTAATGGGTACAACAAGGACTGGTCGGCTCGGAGTCAGTATAATGTGTCTGAGTGGGGTATTCATGCTTCACTGCGGCATGGTATCTCAGTGGGCTAGCACTATAAAACCAGCTTAAATCTGGGCTAGTACAAGCAGCCGCACATACACATGCACACGCATGCACGTCGTCATATGAGCGAAATATTCTCAAGCACGACGTTAAACCCAATTTCACCTCACCTCACCTTTCTCCTGTTCAGTCTGTACATAAATCCCCTATACATACATATCTACCACCTCTAGCAGTTGGTATAAACTTCTAGCTGTACCTCTGTCATTGCTAGGATTGATTCCACTGCCAAATTATCATTCTCTTAAGTAGTATTCCAGTGAACGCTTTTTAAATTCGTATTATTAAGTGAAAAGAGTCATTTTGAACACGGTTCGATGTAGGTGAATACCCACCGTATAAGTGAAACCTGATTGATCAGTATTCACTAAGTTAAGTAGTCAATCAAGAAATATCATCTTTAAGCCAATCAGTATCAATACCTGGGCCCTTATTCTCGAAACGTTCGTAGCCCTAAGAATTCTTAACTCTGATCGTAGCTAATGTGTTAGAATGGGCTTAAGAAGTTCTTAGGGCTACGAGCGTTTCGAGAATAGCTAGCCAGATCGGTGAACATCAAAGGACTAAAAAAGTCTGCCTCATGTGCCTAGTTTGAAACCTAAAGGTCTGCGCATGTGCAGACACCGACCTTATACCGTCTTATCATGATTTTATACAATCCAGTTACGACTCCATTCTTCTCTGTTACTACCCATCTGTAATGCTATCCGTTAATCCCACCATCCTAGAAAGCCGTGATGGTATTGTTTATATCCTATGATGTAATACATACCTACTTACACTAACTTGTGTACCGCTACACTGGTATTATGACACTGTATTGTACAGAAACACATACAGGCTCGATGTACCTTGTCGTCATTTTTTATCGTTTTCGTATCTATTTGCCTAAAATATCTTCTACAATCTACATACTACTGAGTGATTGATTTCGCAAGACATCGGTGTAGATGATATTTTATGCAAATAGTATCTATTAAAATGGAGACACATCAACGTTAGAGAACAAATGTCCCAATGCAGATTTTAATACGTTCTGTGACATAGTATTCTTGTTTGTTTGTTGGTTGGTAAGTTAACGCCACATTCAGCAATATTCCAGATATACGTCTGTGAATAATCCAGTGATCAACACCATGAGCATCGATCTACGCAAATAGAATACGATGACATGTGTCAACCAAGTCAGCGAGCCTGACCACCCGATTCCGTTAGTCGCCTCTTACTACAATCTTGCTAACATCCAATTCTAACCCGGATCTTCACATGTTACAGTATTCTTTAAAGAGTGGGCATCACTGTTGTGAACAAAAGACAACACTAGACCACTGCATTCAATTTCAGGGCTCATCGCAACTTCACTAAGTGTTTGAACAGCTTCCCCGACAAGCCATGTGAACAGTTCCACGCTCTCCTCCTTTCTCTTCCGGTATGATTACCTGCAGAACCAAGAGGATGTGCCAGGACCAGGCGTGTGATCGAGCTCGGATCTGCCAATCACAAGTCCAGAGACAGTATGACTCCACCCTCCGCTTTGTTGTCCAATCAAGTGACTCGGTACAACTTGATGATTTGTGTTTGTAAGTATGCAGCGTCCTGATTGGTTCAGTTCGTGATCGGCTGGCGAGAAGGGACGTGTTGTGTTATTGGTCGTTTCAATTAGCTATCATTCATTTGAAAGTTTATAAGTGAGTGGTGAATGATGTTTTATGATGATGATGTGTATGTATGTCTGTCCGGCTGGCTGTGTGTCTCTGTGTGTGTCTGTGCGTGCGTACGTACAACAGCTTGTAAAATGGCACTTAAAAGTACTATATTGGTGGTAAGGTGTAACTTGTAAAGGTTGTAACGATGCATCGAACTATCGATGGATTGCAATTGTTGAGTCTCCGACAGCAATTAATGGATGGTAAAACGAAAAACTGTCGATGCATCGGTAGACTATCGATATCGCAATAGTTGTTTTCCCTCATTAATTCTTAACTCTGATCGTAGCTAATGTGTTAAGAATGGGCTTAAGAAGTTCTTAGGGCTACGAGCGTTTCGAGAATAGCTAGCCAGATCGGTGAACATCAAAGGACTAAAAAAGTCTGCCTCATGTGCCTAGTTTGAAACCTAAAGGTCTGCGCATGTGCAGACACCGACCTTATACCGTCTTATCATGATTTTATACAATCCAGTTACGACTCCATTCTTCTCTGTTACTACCCATCTGTAATGCTATCCGTTAATCCCACCATCCTAGAAAGCCGTGATGGTATTGTTTATATCCTATGATGTAATACCTACCTACTTACACTAACTTGTGTACCGCTACACTGGTATTATGACACTGTATTGTACAGAAACACATACAGGCTCGATGTACCTTGTCGTCATTTTTTATCGTTTTCGTATCTATTTGCCTAAAATATCTTCTACAATCTGCATACTACTGAGTGATTGATTTCGCAAGACATCGGTGTAGATGATATTTTATGCAAATAGTATCTATTAAAATGGAGACACATCAACGTTAGAGAACAAATGTCCCAATGCAGATTTTAATACGTTCTGTGACATAGTATTCTTGTTTGTTGGTTGGTTGGTAAGTTAACGCCACATTCAACAATATTCCAGATATACGTCTGTGAATAATCCAGTGATCAACATCATGAGCATCGATCTACGCAAATAGAATACGATGACATGTGTCAACCAAGTCAGCGAGCCGGACCACCCGATTCCGTTAGTCGCCTCTTACTACAATCTTGCTCAAATCCAATTCTAACCCGGATCTTCACATGTTACAGTATTCTTTAAAGAGTGGGCATCACTGTTGTGAACAAAAAAGACAACACTAGACCACTGCATTCCAATTTCAGGGCTCATCGCAACTTCACTAAGTGTTTGAACAGCTTCCCCGACAAGCCATGTGAACAGTTCCACGCTCTCCTCCCCTTTCTCTTCCGGTATGATTACCTGCAGAACCAGAGGATGTGCCAGGACCAGGCGTGTGATCGAGCTCGGATCTGCCAATCACAAGTCCAGAGACAGTATGACTCCACCCTCCGCTTTGTTGTCCAATCAAGTGACTCGGTACAACTTGATGATTTGTGTTTGTAAGTATGCAGCGTCCTGATTGGTTCAGTTCGTGATCGGCTGGCGAGAAGGGACGTGTTGTGTTATTGGTCGTTTCAATTAGCTATCATTCATTTGAAAGTTTATAAGTGAGTGGTGAATGATGTTTTATGATGATGATGTGTATGTATGTCTGTCCGGCTGGCTGTGTGTCTCTGTGTGTGCCTGTGCGTGCGTACAACAGCTTGTAAAATGGCACTTAAAAGTACTATATTGGTGGTAAGGTGTGTAACTTGTAAGGTTGTAACGATGCATCGAACTATCGATGGATTGCAATTGTTGAGTCTCCGACAGCAATTAATGGATGGTAAAAACGAAAAACTGTCGATGCATCGGTAGACTATCGCTATCGATATCGCAATAGTTGTTTCCCCCTCATTAGTCACCCTAGACCGACTTGTCTAAATGTGTGGCACCAGGTATCCATGGAGATGGTCAGTTCTCTGTTTTCAGTCCCTAGTTAGTGTCGTTCCGGTGTTGCGATATATCTGAAATTTGGCCTTCTCCTCTAACATCTACATCTATCAGCTGCCAGATCCATAAATGCGGCGTCAAACATCATTCTCTCAATACGTCAAAGACATCACCAGTCAATGTACTTGCTAAACTCCCATACACGTGAGGGGTGATCCTGTTTGTACATTGGATTGGGTTAAAGGTTAAAGGGGGCGGTAGAGGAGCCTAGTGGTAAAATCGTTCATTCGTCACGACGAGGACCTGTGTTCGATTCCCAACATGGGTACATTGTGTTGAACCCATTTCTAATGTCCCCTGCCGTGATATTACTGAGATATTGCTAAAAGAGGCGTAAAAATCATTTTCTCTCTCAAATGTTAAGATTTAACACTGCCGGTCATGAATGACGCTCATCCGAGTGACTCGGAACCAAATTCTATGTTTCCATTGTTTCCATACCATAAATTCGTTAGCCTCAAATTTGGAATTCATTTTAATTTCTATAGTATCTCATTATAGATGACACTGACACATTTGATGAAAACCTATCATTTCAGAGTTGTCATCCGTGGCAATGAACAAACAGACTGTTACAGCGAATACATTGACGAATGTACCGATGTACCAGAACATCCCCTCCGACAACAATGGGGAGAAATGGTGATGGACATACGGCAATTGTGTGATAACGGTACGGAGCTTGCTGTAATTGTACCCGTGAACATCGGTGTTAGAACTGGTCTTCAACCTTGAACATCCGGGTTAGAACTGGTCTTCACCCGTGAACATCCGGGTTAGAACCGGTCTTTACCCGTGAACATCGAGGTTAGATCTGGTCTTTACCCGTGAACATCCGGGTTAGAACGGGTCTTTACCCGTTAACATCGATGTTGGAACTGGTCTTCATCCGTGAACATCCGGGTTAGAACTGGTCTTCACCCGTGAACATCCGGGTTAGAAACCGGTCTTTACCCGTGAACATCGATGTTGGAACTGGTCTTCACCGGTGAATATCCGGGTTAGAACTGGTCTCACCCGTGGATATCGGGGTTGGAACTGTTCTTCATCCGTGAACATCGGGGTTAGAATTGGTCTTTACCCATGAACATCCGGGTTAGAATTGGTCATCACCCGTGAACATCCGGGTTAGAATTGGTCTTTACCCATGAACATCCGGGTTAGAATTGGTCTTTACCCATGGACATCCGGGTTAGAACTGGTCTTCATCAGCGAATGTCCGGGTTAGAATTGGTTTTCAGCAAACCATGCTTGTAAGAGGCGACTAAAGGGGACTGGTGTTAAGGGCTACAACTGTCGCAGCTGTATGTCACAACATATTGTTAGAATATTGCTAAAAGTTAAATTGTCGTTTACAGTCAGTTAGCTCCCTTGCCCCGGAAGATGACAAGCAAAGTGACCCCTATTTTTGTACAATAATGTTTACGACAGTCGTGGAAATGTTTCTGTTTTGGAGAGTCCTTTGTTTCTCGTTCACTCATTTAAACCGACTTATGGATGAATGTTTGGACACTTTTTTCCCCCAGATTGCGCGAATGTCATGAACGGCATCCCTAGTTGCCACGATGCCGTCCTGTACGAGAGCTTCAACGGCAACAGCTGGTCGCAGTTCTGTCAGTGAGTATGGTAACCTGCAATATCCGACAGTACAGAGCAGGGGGAAATATACAGTAAAAAACCCACTCACTCACTCACTCACTGCGTTGTCTGTTAATGTCAGAAACTCTACATACCTCATACCCCTGTGAGCCATATCGTTGACTCGGGAATAAAATAATCATCTCATTTAATACTTCACTTCCAGGTCGCACAGCAATGCCACAGCCTGTGTGAAGAATTTGAACTGCGCGCTAGGTACATCCATGTTTAACAAGCTGCTCAGATCAGAAGTGGAAGGCTTTGTTGCAAATGTTTGCATTAATGGTAAGTTAAGTGACCAGGGTCCCGATCCACAAAGCGTTCGTAGAGCTACGACTGTCGTAAGTCTATGTTAAAGTATGGGAGTTACGATCAACTTAGAGCTACGACTGTCGTAAGTCTATGTTAAAGTATGGGAGTTACGACTGTCGTAAGGCTATGTTAAAGTATGGGAGTTACGACTGTCGTAAGTCTATGTTAAAGTATGGGAGTTACGACTGTCGTAAGTCTATGTTAAAGTATGGGAGATACGACTGTCGTAAGTCTATGTTAAAGTATGGGAGATACGACTGTCGTAAGTCTATGTTAAAGTATGGAGATACGACTGTCGTAAGTCTATGTTAAAGTATGGGAGTTACGATCAACTTAGCGCTACGTTCGCTTTGATGAACGGGGCCCAGGGTTCCGATCCGCAAAGCGTTCGTAGAGCTACAACATTCGTAAGTCAATGCTGCAGTATAGAGTTACGATATTTCATAACGTTACGAACGCTTTGTGGATCGTGACCCAGAGTGTGGTAGTTAATGGTTGCAAATATTTGCAGCAGTAGACGAAAAACCCTTGATGTTTTTATGATCTTAGAAATGTTAACAAACATTTGCACAAGGGGCGGGGGAAGCGCAATGGAGTTGAATACCTTGTTTAAGGTTGCTCCGCTCATTGAGTCTTTAACTAGACGTGTGCGTGACTTCGTGTGTTTGAACTAGTCAGGTGTCATGTCGGCTATGTAGTGCCAGCGTACCGAGAATCAGTGCCACTGTTTACTTGACTACCTCACTTACATATCGTACCCGCAGACCAGTCCTTGATGTAGCCCTTAATACCGAGCACAATACAATTACCATATGTAAACGTATTCTGGTATGCCGCAACGAGGACCGGCCGGCACGATGTCCACTAAACTACGGGTGTAGTCGGAGGGTGTGGTCGAGTCTGTCTCACAGTCCCTGAACCACATTATTTTCGTTACTGCCAAGCCCTATCTGCAGTGCTAAAACCCTAAATAAAGCAAGTCCACTCTAGTCTCCCTGGAGCTCCTTTTCAATTTAAATGGGCTTGTTTGTTACAATCAAAATGATATATATTGAGAGACTGAGCGTTAGTCTAGGTGTGGTCCAGGGTCTCGTTGTACAAAACAACCATAGCGATACGGCTGTCGTACTTCTATGGTAAGGTATTGAGTGAGTGAGTTTAGTTTTACGCCGCTTTCAGCAATATTCCAGCTATATGGCGGCGGTCTGTAAATAATGTATGTATGTATGTATGTATGTATGTATGTATGTATGTATGTATGTATGTATGTATGTATGTATGTATGTATGTATGTATGTATGTATGTATGTATGTATGTATGTATGTATGTATGTATGTATGTATGTATGTATGTATGTATGTATGTATGTATGTATGTATGTATGTATGTATGTATGTATGTATGTATGTATGTATGTATGTATGTATGTATGTATGTATGTATGTATGTATGTGGTATGGTATGTATGTATGTATGTATGTATGTATGTATGTATGTATGTATGTATGTATGTATGTATGTATGTATGTATGTATGTATGTATGTATGTGTATGTATGTATGTATGTATGTATGTATGTATGTATGTATGTATGTATGTATGTATGTATGTATGTATGTATGTATGTATGTATGTATGTATGTATGTATGTATGTATGTATGTATGTTATGTTAGACATTGAACACTTTGGTCAGATGAACGAACGCGGATATTGCGTAGCCTGCCTCACAGACTCTGAGCCCTGGTTCTTTCTGCAATGCTAAAGCCCTAAATGAAGCAACTCAGACTTCCTTAGGTTCTGAATCTCTCGTCTCACTGGGTCTCCTTTTAATTTAACAGGAATTATTTGCTTCTACCAAAATTATAATATATATCAGAGGCAAAGCGTTAGTCTAGGGTATGGCGCTGTATAACAATGTTGATGAATGATTCGAAAAAAATAACAGGATTCTGCACGACTAAGGGACATAACTCCTCAAATTGCAGCGCCACCTCAGCCCCTATAATTCATAAGGTGTTGTAAAACAGTTGTAAGATTGGAAAGACAGATGCTAATTGTTATCGTTACTTGAAAAATAGTAAATGCTTATCATTTCAGAATGCGCTAACCTTGACGATACTTTGTTGTCTTTGGAGAGATGTTTTCCCTCCCTGAGCAGAGCAGGAACTCCGGGCGATGACTGCAAGTAAGTGTGCCCAAAATACGGTGACAATAGACAGAAAATCTCAAACATTTTAACCTCCCCCCGAAGAAAAATTTATCCGAAAAGTTACTCAAGAGCGGTGCACGTGTTCTTGTTTCAGACAATATTATGCCTTCGAGAACTGCATGGGCAGGTCTACAGTCGCCCCTTGCAAAGAAGTGGACGGCATCCTGAACTTCTTGTCGCCTAACTTCACTTCACGAAAAGACAGATGCACAACCACTACTAGACCAAGTAGGTCTCCTTGTAATCCAGGCAAACTGCACTTATATATTTACGCTACATTTGTTTTGGAGTGAAAGAAGAGGCATTCATGTTTCTTATGCCAGGATTTAACAAGGTTATGCCTTCACAAAGACATACATTCATACATAACCACAGAGACAAATATTGACACACACACAAAAAGAAGACTCCAACGGCAACATACAAACAAAACAACCAAATAACAGACAGTCAGACACATAAACACACACATTGGCACACTCAAACACACATGCATGCATACATACATTGCACACACGCATACATACATGGATGTATACATCCATGCATGCATGCATAAACACAGATAGTCACTCACATGCATCCAATCCATCCATCCACACACACACACACACACACATACACACACACATACATGCATGCATGCATAAACAAAGATAGTCACTCACATGCATCCAACCCATCCATCCATCCACACACACACACACACATACATACACACACATACATGCACACACACATACATACATACATACATACATACATACATACATACATACATACATACATACATACATACATACATACATACATACATACATACATACATACATACATACATGATTAAAATTGTTCTGTCAATGGAACATACCTATACTTGTATAATCTCCTAACCTGAGTATGGGGATGAGTTATCGCGCTCAATACAACCCAGTTGATACGAACACCCTCATATCTTGTTCAATCCAGGCTAAAAGCGCCATGTTGTACCGTCAATATTACTCGAAGCGGCGTACAATCAACACTTCTGTGCGTAGATAACTATTGGGCAAATGCTGAACGAGTAGGCTAGGGCCAGACCTAGCTCTTCTGAGTTACTTCTCTTATCCTTGCAGGGATCCTGATTTGATTTATATATTTTAGATTTGCCATGATAATGACAATTGTTTGGCCAGTACCTGAGCAACTGGGCATATTGGATACACAAACGTTTAATTTTAATTTTAAATTTTACACATCAAATAACTGAAACATTGTCCAATACTCTGTAGTTGGGCAATATTAATTGTCCATTTGTCCCGACAATCCGTAAACAGCTCTTGTTTATAGCAACAACCTCAACTACAACAACAACAACAACAACAACAACGACTACTACTACTACTACAACAACACCTACCACAACAACTACTTCCACGACGACCACCACCACTACGCCGTCCACTACGACTACTGAATTGACTACAACTATTCCATCCACGGAAGAAACGACATCAACTAGTACAGCATCATCATCATCATCAACAACAACATCAACAACTACGACAACGACGACGACGACGACGACGACGACGATGACTCCTCCTCCCGCCACGACATTGGAAACAACCATCGACATCCCTGATATTTCAGCCTGTATAACTCTAAACCTCATGAAAGCTATTAACGCTTCTATACAAAAAAACAACGCTACATCGCCTGAAGATAACTCCGGACTCTGCGTGTAAGTGCCCAAAGCTTGATGCATGAAGAATTCAACTCACAGTTGGTTGCAGCGCTCTGCTCGAGAAGCATATCCATGGAACGTTGTTCAAGTCGGGGTAGTCGTGTGGTTAAATGTCCCTTCGTCACGCTGAACACCAGCTTTCGATTTCTCATTTAGGGTGTCCCCGCCGTGATACCGCTTGCATGTTGCTATAAGCGGCTTAAAACTATACTCTGTCTATTGACAATGACAGTATGAGGATTTTTTTTAAAATAGGCTCCCAGTACTTGAGGTGTGACGTGAAGAAGTTGAAATGAGAATCGGATGGTTGTAGTATGTGACCTTGACCTTTGAACATCATCGTATCCATTACCGTAAGTCGTTCTAGCGCTTCTGGATGTCCCTCCCCGACTCGAATTTGTACAAAAGGCCGTATCATGTGCTTTCGGTAAAACAGGGCTCACTCACTCACTCACTCTCTGCAGCGTATCATTTCGCCTTCACCCTTCAAAGAGACAGGGGGCGGTGGGGTAAACCTGGTCGCTGGTATGAAGCACCTTGAAGGCAAGGGGGGTTGCTCATTATATTAATCATTGGTTGGTCTGTCCCAGTATTTATTAGTTTGTTTGTTTTTATAATTTTATATTTTTGATTCGTTATTGGTATTAAAAGGTTGTCACGATGTAGGGTTACTGTTGCACCTTGAAGACAAGGGACGTTGCTCATGGTATCGATCACTGGTTGGCTGTCGTTATTAGTATTAAAATTAAAAGGTTGTAGCGATGTAGGGCTAGTACTGTTGGCAGGGCAACAGAAGACTAATCACCGGCATAGGGTCAATATTGCGTTAAATAACATTCATTCAGTCACTCCCAAGTCGAGTGAGTGTGGCTTTAAATAACTTCCATTCACTCACTCCCCAGTCAATGGTTCTCCTAACACTTGTCCCCAGGGAGATCGTTGGGCTGGCATCCTGCCTCACGTCCAGGTGCCCCACCCTGAAGGAACTGTCCCGCTGTCTGCTGACCCTACCCCCCAGCGTCCGACGTCACGTGGACCGGACCCTCCCGCACTGCCGACCCCACATACAGAAGGTCCACGAGGAGATGGTGGACTACAGGGCGCTGTCCAGCAACACCCATAGACGATACTTTAACATTACGTGTACACGAGGTGGGTAGGGATTACCGAGGGCGGAATCACAGTCCTGACTGCATGAACTTCCTACTGCATGGACACAAAGGATATCAACATCCTTCAACAGCGCATGCTCCGATCGGTTGTACTATGAAAGGACACCAACATACCCTGTGCACGCTTCATCCGTTTATTGTCAGAAAGGATATCAATATTCCTGGATTGAGCATGATCCGCCTTTTTGTTATCAGTGCATGTCCCACCCGTTTATTATCAGAAAGGATGTCAACATACTTCAACAATGCATGTTCTACCCGTTTATTGTCAGAAAGGATATCTACATACTTGAAGAGTGCATGCCCCACCCGTCTATTGTCAGAAAGAATATCAGCATACCTGAACAGTGCAAGTTCCACCTGTCTGTTGTCACAAAGAATATCAACATACGTGAACAGTGCATGTTCCACCTGTCTATTGTCAGAAAGGATATCAGCATACCTGAACAATGCATGTTCCATCCGTTTATTGTCAGAAAGGATATCAACATGGCTGAACAGTGCATGTTCCACCTGTCTATTGTCATAAAGGATATCAGCATACCTGAACAATGCGTGTTCCACCCGTTTATTGTGAGAGAGAGGATATCAGTATGCCTGAACAGTGCATGCTCTATCCGTATATTGTCAGAGAGGATATCAGCATACCTGAACAGTGCATGTTCCACCCGTTTTTTGCCAGAAAGGATATCAACAAATCTTGTCCATGTCCCGACTGTTTATTGCCAGAAAGGATATCGACATACTTGAAGAGTGCATGCTTGACCCCTATGTTACCAGGTAGGATGTCACTATTGTTGAATAGTGCACGCTATCCAGAAAGGATATCAACATACGTTGTCCATGCTGTTTATTGTCAGAAAGGACATCACCATATTTCAATAGTGCATGTTCCACCCATTTGTTATCAGAGAAAGGATATCAACATACCTGAACAGTGCACGCCCAACCCGTTTATTGTCAGAAAGGATATCAACACATTTTGAACAGCTGCATGTTACACCTGTTAATTGTCATATTTGGACTACATGAATATCTCTGGCGGATAAGGTCGACCACACGCGGTGCTACGTACATGACCACAATATATACTCATGGAAACGAATAAGAGAACACATGAAAGAACAAGTTTTCCTTTATTCTTTTCTAGGTTTCTTAATTTTATGTGTTCCCTTATTTGTTTCCATGAGTATATATTGTGTGTGACGGATACCCAGGGTGACCACGTTTCGATGTTCATGACATTAACCACAGGTATGTCTTGTCAAAGCCCAATTATTTACATGTCACCGTGATACGGCTTAAATAGTTCGGCGTAAAACAACATTATCTTACACCCAACTGTTAAATCATGCCTTATTTTCTCTTTCACAGCATCCGGAGCTTCAACTCGAGAGACGACAGCAACTATGCTCTTCGTAACGCTGATGACGTCATTCCTGATAATGGGTAGACTGTAAAACTAGGACCTGAAAACAGTGGACACTCAGGAAAAAAATATTCAGCAGTTTTCAGCCCCACGCCAAACAAAAATACGTCCCTCGTTTATGGTCAACATATTTCGTTTACATCTTGGATGATTCACAAAATTCTACACACTTTTTTGAAATTTATTTGATTTGGATCAGTATGATTTGAAATGTTTTAAATTTGAAAATAGCACATTGTGGTTTTACTCTTATACTGATTTAAATACTCTCCAGAGTTTACGTTCCGATAAATCTCAAATAGTACAATGATTGTATTACCTCCCTTTGCTGGCTCTGACTTCTCACAGTAGCCTATCAGGTAAGCCGTTACAACCAAGCTTTTCAGTGTCAACAAAGATGGCAACCGCGAAGGTTTGCTCGCTGTTCGACTCAGATTTAAGGAAGAAATCATACAGACAAATTGGCAGGTCTGAAATATATGCAAGAACTCCTACCTCTTTCAGGGTATCTCTGCAACAAATGTTTTGCCAAGTTTAATCGGTTAGATACAAGAAGCGGAAGTGAGTTATGATAGAAGCCTTATGATTGGTACGCTCAACTTCCCAGCGTAGACACCTGATTAGATAAAGAGCCAGCAAATGGAGGTAATACAATTATCGGGCCGAGCCGTAGATGCATCCAGGTTATTAGTGAAGATTTATCGGATCATATACCCTGGAAATTATCGAGGGTGGATACTAATGTGCATTGTTTCAAACAATGACCGAAAAATATCGTGTGTGAAAGAAAAGTCCCATGCTCACTCACTCCAAATTGCCGAAGACAGTTGAACGCTGTAGTTATAGAGCATGGGTTAACAAGAGTCCTGGGTGCCGTTGTACAAAGCGATCTTAGTGCTAAGGTGACCGTAACTCCCATACCTTAACATAGACTTAAGGTAGTCTCAGCGCTAAGGTTGTTTTGTACAACGGCACCCTGGTAGAGTCAAGGGTCCGTCTTGCTTATAATACAATAATCCACGTTATTTTCATTTGGGCAATGTTTTATCTATACGGAAAGCTTGAAGAGGTCGAAATAACAAACATGTTCAGCAAAATATTTTTGTGGATGAATATTGTCGGTGACACTTTTCATGGGTCCGCCAAACTAAAATTATGCTGAATTTTCATTTGAACAATCTGTTGTTCTTAGCGCCGATTTTGCGATCTGATTCCGATATTGATGTGGAATGTGAGCTAAACATGTTTGTTTAGTAGTGCCATGTTTTTTGTCAAGAAGCGAAATTGTGTGTGATAGTTAAAGAAGGTATATGAACTGATGTACAAAAAATTACACACTAGGTGCCTTGGAATTATGTAAAAAGACGTAAATACATGTACATGTATGCTGAAAGAAGTGATTTGATGTTTTGTACTTCCTAATCGAGAAATATTTCAGACACCTGTTTGTGATTTGATCGTATTACGAGCTCAAATTAAAAGATATTCAACCCTTTTGTACATTGCTGTCAATCACAAACAATAGTGACGTCACCAACGTACGTCAGTTAAAGCTCCACACAGCGATCTTCATTTTTAAAATGAGATATTAAGTAAGGGATATACATGCTTATTATATATTTTCCATGACTTAATTGCCTGAATTGTTTACTTGTATTATTGTTATATTATTATATTTGATTACCTTTCAGATTTCAATATCCAGTAAATGGATTATTGTCGCTTCTCTGTATAATATCAGCGACATGTCTTAGAAATAGGAGGGGCGGTGGGGTAGTTAAGTGGTTAAACGTTCGCTCGTCACACGGAAGACCCGAGTTCAATTCTCCACATGGATACAATTTGTTAAGCTCATTTCTGGTGTCCCCTGCCTTGATATAGCTGGAATATTGCTAAAAGCGGCATAAAACCATACTCATTCACTCTTGGAAATAAGAGATAAATATATTTTATAGCTAAAGAACAATGTCGAATCGTCGAATCTCAGTCACCGGACGTCCTATTCAGAAGCAAGTTGTGATAAGCTAACCCATATGAACGAAATTATTCTGTTCATAATAAAACACTTTTCAGTAAAAAAACACTTTTTAAACTGTAAATAATTGTACATGTGAGTCCTCTTCTCTACCCTGGTATGTTTACGTGTATTTATGATAATTTTATATAATGAGGTGTGAATTTTTTACTAACACTCAGAATATCATATGTTTACAGAAGAATTTACAGGATCGAAGTACCATAGTTAGGTACATTGGGCTAGACGGAAAATGGCGAAAGACAATATTGTCCGGAATTTGACCTCCGAGTTCTGTTTCCTTGTCAAATTTTCATCTTCGAGGCAGATTATTCTTCGACAGAAGCAGCCAACGTACTGGCGGCCCGGTAAATCTAAATAAGATTATTTAAATATATATTTTCATCGCCTTCTCCTACCCAGAGACGAATAACTTCTCATCTGTGACTGTTGTAGCGCCTTGAGCATGCACCTCTGTGGATGGAAGACAGTGCAATATAAATAGACATTATTAGTAGTAGTAGCAGTAGGGTAGAAAATACCGTTACCGTTAATGGTTTGTGGGGTAGCCTAGTGGTTAAAGCGTTCGCTCGTCACGCTGAAAACCCAGGTTCGATTTAACACGTGAGTACAATGTGTGAAGCCCATTTCTGATGGCCTCCACCGTGATATCGTGAATATTGCTAAAAGTGGCGTAAAATTAAACTCACTCACTCATTCAGCCGTTATCGTTAAGACTGACTGAGTGAGTTTGGTTTTACGCCGCTTTTAGCAATATTCCAGCAACATCACGGCGGGGGACACAAGAAATGGGCTTCACACATTTTGCCCATATGGGGATTCGAACCCGGGTCTTCGGCGTGACGAGCCAACGCTTTAACCATTAGGCTACCCCAACGCACCGTTACCGTTAAGAGGAACAATTATTATTGTCTGCTCTACAAGAAATCATTTGTGTCTAGTTTCGACAACATCAGTAAATGCTCCACCGTATCACTGGATCATCTGGCCCATCACTTGATTGTGTGGTTTGTTTACCGGCCGCTGTCACATCACAGTAGTACTGCCGTAAGGATTTTGGAAACACATACCGGGAGATCCCGTATTTAGGCCCACGCGAAATTTAGCCCATGAACTAAAATACGGGATTTTAAAAAAAATTGGATTTAATTCTTTGGTGTTTAGAGTGACGTCCCTTTCCAAACGCATGGCGAACCTCGACGTTTTCAACTTTAGTAGTACCTCTGCGAGGTTATCACGGTTACAGAACATTTTGGACACCGGTTACAGAGCAGTTATTAGTGACAGAAATTGAGCATGATGTGCATGCAGTTGCAGTTAAATTGAATCATGTGGTCATTCAATTTTGAATTTATAGACCAGTTTCCTGATAAAAGAGTTTTAAAAAAACCGATTATTTTTATTTTATCAAAATATTGCGCATTTCCGAATTTAAGCCTTGGGCTTGAATATGGTTAAAATATTTCATCACTAGAACAGTGATTTTCCGTATTTAAGCCCGGGGCTTAAGTACAGAATTCCCAGTACTTCCTGCTACTACTATAAAGGCAGGGCACGCTCATCCTATTCTCCAACACCCGGTGACATTTTTTTTCATTGATCTATTCAATTTCCAAGGCTACTTTGTGTCGGCGGATGATCGATGATGTTTCTTCTCACGCGTAGACGTTTTATATTTTGTAAAAAATACAGGCGAAATTCTTTAACAATAGGTCGCTGCTATATACCATATTTATTGTACGTATAATAATCAGATACTGTATGTAAACTCAGTAGGATTTGATGTGTTGTCTCTCTTAATTACCATGTATATAACCGTATCTCCACGTTCTATACACCTGGAAGAAAGTTAAGCACCACTAATGTAAATAGTCCTCATTAACGAAATAGTTGTTTTTATATGGTGTCATGTAGAAGCTTACAAAACAAACATATTTGTTTCTGCATTCAGTACACATTCAGTACACATTATGTACAATAAATTACAAAAACCGTAATATATCACTCGACGTTTGATAGGGATATTGGTTTTAAGGATGCACAACACTGATTATCGTAATATGTCAAGTGTACATTTAAATAGGATGACATCTGTTTCTCCCTGTCAAAGGTTGAGCTGTATATATTAGTTAATGACATGTTTTGCCTCTGTTCAATATATATATATATTTTTTCTTACCCTTGGGAGGCCTGGTAGTTACAGTTTGGTCATCACACCAAGGGCCCGGGTTCGATTCCTCACATGGGTGGAATATGTGAAGCCCACTTTCGGTGTCTAACTCCTGGAATATATTGCTCCATTGCCTCTAAGCATCATGTAATTCAGGAGATAAGGTGTTCATGCTATTTAACTGCTTTTCAGCTTTTCGGTGTTATACAGAACATACACAAACTGTCATGCAAAATTATAGAAAACATTGACTAAAAATTTAGAACGTCACACAGTCTAAACGTCATCAGGCTGAAAACATTTGTCGAAACACTGCAGATTAAGATTCAAAATCAATCAATCAATTGTCTGTTTCATTTTCGCCTCCCTAAGACATGGGGATTTTTACTACAGTTTAATAGAAAATGAAAAATAAATTGGAGCGGTGCTGTACTTTTTCCTGAGTTGTATGGTTCTTAATTTTACAATTTTTGTTTTGATGTTCAGCATAACGTATATTTTTTGTAATAAAAAATACTTCACATTGAGTGTTCTTGGCTTGATCTCACACCAGGATATATCGACGTCATCGGCAGTTCAAACAGTAGTGATCCGGGTTGGAATAAGCATTAAGGTGGAACTCTACAATACGTGTTTCCCTTAGTTATTGAAAAGGAGTAATCTCCCTTGCAGGAAGGTGCGCACGAACCATTCGCGCGCTTGGATAATCGAGCAGGCGACAGAAGAGGTTGTAAAATGTCTTACCGACTAAGACCAAACGAGTGGGGAGCAAACAAGAGCAAGTTCGGGTATGATTGCTGATGAGGTGAAGTTTCGTTGAAATGAGATACTCTCAGTTTTTGATAAAAACACACTTACGAACAATAAATTAACGTGATTGCATGTGAACACTCCGCGGAATGTTCTGTAGGAGGTCTTATTACGATTATCTTATACTAAGGGGGCTTTGTAAAAGAGGTTGGTTCCCTAAGGTAACACAAAGGCCGAAGTTACGTCCACCTCAGGTTAATGGGGTTCTGTCCTAGAGGCCCCTGATAGCTAAACAGTCACTGTGTGTTGGTAATATACATACACCTGTATGAGTGTCATGCTGAAAGAACATACCAACTGAGTGCATTAACATGCACGTGCAAACTCTGGAACACAAGCTTGAAATCGAGGTGTATTCTTTCATATGCCCACCTCAGAAGCTGATGATATGTATGGCCTCAATTCACAACGTAAGTCCGTCTGCGGGTCCACAACAGTTTATTCAGGTGCCGGACGCAAGAGGTAGTTCTTAACTCTCAGTTTCACCCTGCCCAGCTCTCGCTGACTGACAGTCACATACTAGCTATCTCACCAGCATAGCGGACTTCTGACCAGTTCCTGAAAAGGGTGCACTTGCCAGAAGTACCTCGTCTGCAATCTCCGAGTTTCTCATAAAGTGCCCATCAGGCGATATCCTTTTAGTTGTCCGCCCCTGGGAATATCACTTGATACTTAAAAAATACTTCACTTTCCTCACATTTTTGGAAGATCTGCCAGTAGCCAGAGTGTATCTTTGTCTCCCACCCCCACCCCACAGGATGCCTGTCCTAGGGGGAGGGGTGTGAGTATATGCTACTGA